AAAAAAATATGTTTTCATAGGAACAAGCTTACAATAACAACAACAACAACGATATGATTATTATAATCATTATTACTGTTACTGCAATTGATGATGATGATGATGATAACGAAAAAGAAAAATTCTCGGTTCCCGAATGATTTCAGATGAAATGATAATTCATTTTATCGGCGATAGTAAGGAAAAAATTACTACAAAGAAAACAACAACAAAAAAAACAACAGAAGAAAAATTTTCCACTGATTTTCATTATCAATATGTATTATTAATGTATATTTTGGTTGGTTGGTTGGTTGGTTGCTGATTAAAATATATTCACTTATGTAGTTGTCGTTTTTTACTCATTTGATGATCTTTTCGATTACTACCATCGATGATGATGATGATGATAATCAATAATGAGCCTAATATACGATGCATAAGATGACATTATCATCATCATCATCATCAATATAAGAAAAGATAATGGAAATGTTCAATAATGATGGGTAACCAAGAAGAAAAAAAAATGAAAAATATCAGGACAAAAAACGTGGAAGAAGAAAAAGAAAAAAAAACAAATTTAATTTCAATAAATTTTTTTTCAATGAATAAAGAAATGGAAGAAGCTAAGGATTCCATCATCAAAGATAATGATGATGGAATCCATTCTTTGCTTTTTTTTCTTGTTCGAAAATTCTGTCCAGTAATCAGTAATGTGTTTTGCCAATTCTTTTCGATTCAATTCAATTGATGAACAGAATGGAAACGAGTTATTCATTGAAATTGACGATGATGATGATCATCAACAGTGACTGATTTCTTTTTTCTTTTTTTTGCACAATTTCTGATGATGATTTATAATAATAAAATCTATTTAAGACAAATTTTGGATGAGAAAAAAAACTTGAATGAATGAATGAATTAATAATGAAAAAAGATGTTCAAAGTGTAGATTATTTCAAAAAAAAAAATGATTGAATAAATGTACCACTAGAGGGAAAAAAACTACATTAAGAATAAGGAAATTTTTTCCTCGTTATTGAATCGAATGAATGAATAAAATCAACAACAACAACAACAACAACAGACAACACTTCCTTCCTGGCCACAATAATAATAATGTTGTTTGATGTTATGTTCATCATAAATGATGATGATAATTATGATGTAAGAATGATAACTAACTAACTAACTAACAACAACATCTAGATTAGATTGTTAATATTTATGAAATAAAAAAAGTTATATATGGAAAACAAAATATGTGAATTGAATCAATTCTTTGATGATCCATGATTTGAATACAAAATCTAGATTGATTGTAATATACTATGATCATCATAGTAGTCGTCGTAGTCGTTATATTATCATAATCATCATTATCTATGTCTGATGCGGTCAACATGGTTTCTTTCAAACAAATTCTATTGGAATTTTTTGTTTTTTTTTCTCTTTTTCTTTCGTTCTTTCAAAATGTACCAGATGTATTCTATTTATTCATTAATGTATTATTTCAAAATGAAAATAGTTTTTTTATTCTTTGTGTTTTTACTTCATTTCTCTCTAATTCAATATGCGAAACAACAAAAAACAAACACTTTTTTTCCAAAATAAAATGATAAACAATTAAAAATTTCATGTATGTTTTTGATCAAAATTTTCTATACAATCATTATTGGTATTCGTTTCAACAACAAATTCAAAAAAAAAAAATGTTGATTTTTTTCTGATTTATCATGAATCAATGATTTACATACACACATGTACGAACTTAATTCATCGTTTTCTTTTCTTCTAGGAATTAATTGAAGAAAACGAATGTTTGTATGTTGTAAATCTCTTTGTTAATTTTGTTTATTTTTTTATTTCGTTAACTTTTTTTCTACAAAAGAAAAAAATCTAATTATAAAAAAATAACGGTAATTCTTCGATGATTTTAAACAAAAAACAAAAAAAAAATTGAAAATCAAAACAGTCCATATGAAAAAATCCGTATGCGAATCATTCACATTTCCAATTTCAAGTTTGTTATCTCTCTTTCATTATCAGTCTCTCTCTCTCTTTTTTCGATTTGTTTCCGATTTAATTCCATTGGAATATCATTATTCAAAGGAAATCTAATAACGACGGTAATGTTAATGATGAAAATCGAGATGAACATGATGATAATAATATCAACAACAACAACAAAAATCGGCTGTTGATCGTACACACAGGAAAAACCAGTAGAAAAAACCAAATTGAACAAAAATATATAAACAAACTAACTATCATCTACCTTTTTCTAATTTATCAACACTGAATTACTGACAAAAAAAAATAACGAAAAAGCCAACTTTCTATTTTGGAAAATTTCATGAAATCCTTGACAACAACAACAACAACAATCCCCCGTAAAATCATTTCAAAAAGTTATAAAATGTTTTCACTCTTGTCTTTTTTTAACTAATTTAAAATTTGTCTACCGAGAAAACGAATAGTAACATCGTAGACATAGACTCAGTTGATAATGATAAAAATCAGATTAAATTTCGAAAAAAAGTAACAATCTTTAATAATGAACGAAAAAGATTTCAAAAGAAAATTGCAATGAAAAAAAAGTTGTTTTCTCTGCAAAAAAAAAAAAAAAAAAAAAAAAAAAAAAAAAAAAAAAAAAATTTAAACCCCTTTTAAAAAAAAAAAAAAAAAAAAAAAAAAAAAAAAAAAAAAAAACAAACAAACAACTATTAACCGACTTATCAAGAATCAGAAAATAAATCAAAAATTTTTTCTTTTTTCACTCTGAAACGATTGATTGATACACACACACACACATCTTATTTTGATACGAAACTAATGATATTTTTATCTTTGTTTTTTTTTTCGCAAAGCGAAAAAATTTCGACATAAGATTCTTTGTATCGATTGCAATTCGTCTCTATTTCACAGAAAAGAACAACTGAAAAAAAATTTCTTCCATTTTTTTCAATGAATTTCCATCATTTTTTTGAAATATGAATGACTATGTACATGATCACCAACCAAACAACGACTATTTTATGAAATTTTTAGAATAAATTTCATTATTTTGCAAGAAAACCATTCCAAAAAGTCAACCGACAACAACAATTTGAACAAAACGGTTTTTATTTTTTGACAAATTACCTTAGATAAAGTTTTGTACTGAACAAACAAAACAAACAAACAAAACTCCACAACTACGATAATCTACAACATCGATATACGTAGAAAGGTTCATACGAAAAACAAAATTGATGCAGACTTTTCAATTTTGTGGTATTTTCTGATCCGCCGTCGTCTTCGATTCTTCTTTCAATTCTTTTTATTTAATCCAGGATCTCTTACTGTGAGTGTGGTGGTGGCCATATATCCGAAAAAAAGAAAATAATTCATGCAATACTGATGATGATGATGTGATGATGATGATAATAGAAAAAAAAGGAAAATAAACATTGAAAATGAATGTGATCATAGCATGATACGTGTGTGTGTGTTTAGTGTATGATAAATTAAATTTTTTCTTATTTCACATTATTTTTTTCCCATTTGAAATTTTGTTTTTTAAAAAATTTCGATTGGAATTCTGGAATTTGTTTAGTTTTTTTCAAATTTATTTTTTGAAATGAGAAAATTCCTTCTTCTAGAAAAAGATCTTCATCATTTTTTTTCGACCGAAATTCAAAAAATGAAGAAATAGTGTTTTTTTGGGTTGATTTGACCTCCATCGACAGCGACCAAATCGATCGATCGCGATCGATTTGATCAAGAAAAAAATTTCAAATAGAGAAAAATGAAAAAAAGCCGAAAATCGAATGATCCAAATTCAAGTTTTCAAATGTAGATGTAGAAACCAATGTTTGGAAAGGGAAACAAAATATTAGAATATAAATTATCAATGAAAACTATATCTTTCCTTTTCGCGATTCGATTCGAGCAGAGAAATTTTTCCGGAAATTTTTTTTGTTTTCTTTTTTTTGAATTTCGTTTATTTTTTCTTTTGAAAATTCGTGATTTGATTCTCATTGATTTTATTATTATTTATCTTTTTCATCTTTTCAATTATTAAAACCATATAGAACTTTCTAGTCATGGTGATGATTATTATAATCAAAAAAATAACATTGTTGCCAAAAAAATTCAATGCCAAAAAAATCATAATGATGATGATCATCATCAAAAAAATCAAAGTGATTATAATCATAAACCATCATCATCATCATTATTATCAACAACAAAACTTTCAAGTGATTCAAATGCCGTATTATTTAGCCCGAAACAACATCAAATCAAACAACAACAACAACAACAACAAGATGAATATTTAAATGATTTTCATCTATTTATTTCACATTATCATAATCATCAATATAATTCTTATCGACAACAACAAAAACCTCAATCAAATGCAAAAAGAAAGTTAATGAACAATAATAATGATAACGAAAAATATATAAATAGTGATATGAAACAAAATGACCATAATAATAATAGCCACTTGAATAATAATGGATCAATAATGATGATGATTCAACGAGATTATTATTCAAAACGTATCAAAAGATCAGCATTGATTTTGTCCAAAAAACAACAACATGAACATCAACAACAAAAAACTAAACAAACATTGTCCAACGTTCAACGAAAAACAACTTTGAATAATAAAAAATTTCAAAACAACAAAAATGAACATCAACAGAATATTAAGAAATTGCCTTATAGGAAAAGATCTAGGAATAAGCATTTAAAATCAAGAATTTCAACAATTTCATCATCATCATCAACAACAACGACAACACCGACAACAACTACTACTACAATAGAAACATTAATGATGAATAATGATAAACGAAAAAATATTCGTCGTTCATTACATCATGGTCATAAAATGATTAGTCATTTGTTTCAAATGGAACATCATAACAATGGTGATGGTGATGATGATGATGATGAACAACAACATAATAAAAAATATGATTCAATAAATCAAGAATCAAATATGAAAATGATGATGAAACCACCTTATGTTGCTATCAATGATGGTGATGATGGTAAATTATTTCTTGATCAAAATTCAAATGATAGTGAGAAATATTCAAATCAAAATCAAGATTTATTAATAAAAAATCCGGCCAGTATTTCTTCGTTGTCCACAATAAAATCACATCATCAACAGCAACAACAACCATCAAAATCAATGACAATTCGACGAATGAATACTATCGGTATTGATGATCCAGAATTTAAATATCAAAATATAACAGCACAAGTTGGTCATCCTGCCTATATGCCTTGTATTATTGATTCACTTGATGATAAAATGGTTTGTTTGTTTTTGTTTCTAATCTTTATATATTAAACTCATTATAAAACATTTTCTTCTTATTTTCACTTTAAAATAATCAGGTTTCATGGATACGTTTACGTGATTTTCATCTATTAACAATCGGACAATTAACTTATATACAAGATGATCGTTTTGTTGTACGTTATGGTGGTTATCAATCAAATGATTGGATTCTACAAATTAAACATGTTACAATCAAAGATGAAGGTAAATAACATTTTATATGATTTTTTTTATTATTATCTAAGTACAAATTGATTAAATCGATATTAAAAAAAGATTGAAAACAACAAATGGAAGGAGGGAAAATCAATTTTTTTTTTGGAAAATAAGGAAATCAAACTTCATCCAAATACGTACAATATATGAATACCAACAGAGCAAAAATTGTCAATCGATCGATGACGATTGTGAAAAACTTGAAAACAAAACAAAATCATCATTTAAAGTTGAATCAAATCGATTCTTTTATTTATTCACTTTTGATGATGATTCAAAAGATATTATTATTGTCTATAGGAAATAATATTTTTCCCTTTTCAATAAATCATGAATATTACCGATCGAATCATTCAGGCCAATTAGTTCATCTTATCGATCGATGATACTATACTATTCAAAAGAGACAAAGATTTTTTTCGAAATGACTTTATTTTCAAGCAATACCCGAATAGCATTGATTATGATGATAATATTCGATTTTTTTCATTCTGGAAAACCATTTTTAAAACGGAATTCAAGAAAATTGAAATTGAAGTGGTGTCATCATCGTTATTATTATTATTATTCGGAAATAAAAAGTTAAATTACCATTTTTTTTGTTGTCTAAATGACATCAGTGATGATGATGATGATGGTGAATGGATGGATGGATGGATGAAAATTTATTTTCATCAAAAGAAGGATGAAGATAAATTTTTTTTTTGGGGAAATCGAGATGAATCCAAACAAAATCCAATTTTTCCCATCTTGATTTTGTTTTGTTTTGTTTCACTTAAAATGGAATCGAATCCGAATCCCATATTTCTTTTTTTTCCCATAGTGATTTATATATTTTGTTGTTGGTTTTTTTCAAATGAAATAAAAGTAGCGACAAAGAAAAAACAACAACAACAACAACAAAATGCATCAAAATGATTTGATTTCAGTTTTTGTTTCTCGTCTTCAATTTCTACATTAATTCGGTTAATATGTTTTTTTTTGTTTTGGCCAAAACAACAACAACAATAAGATTTCTGAATTGGAATTCAAATTCCCCCCCTCAAAAAAAAATAGAGAAGATTGAAACAATTTCCAAAAGAATAATATTGAAATGATTGAAATATGAGGACCAGAGAAAAAGAAATGAAAAAAAATGTAACATTCAACAACATTCTTCTCTTGTTTTCAAATATGCATTTTTTTGTCTGTTTGTTTGTTTGAATGAAATTGACAATTTTTATCTATCTGCTTTTCTGAGATATATCTTTGTTTGAGATTCTTTTTTGGGTTCAAATATAACCACTTAGTTTGCAGCAACAACAAAAAAATGAACGAAAGAATTGTATTCCAATACGAAGAAAGAAAGAAAAAAACAATACAACATTGAATTCTGAAAAAGAGAAATTTGTCAATCCTCTTGGATTTTTTGTTTTTTTCGTTTTCGTTTTGGCGTGCTTTCATACTGATAATGGCTAATATGGACATTTTTCTTTTCCAGTTTTTTTTCCAGTTTTGTTTTGTTTCGTTTGTCATTACTATAGCTGTGATCATCATCATCGTCATCATCATTATGATTATTGTTATGAAAGCCATTTTTTTTTCTTGACCATAAGAGATTGAAAAGAAATAATGAGATAAAAGTTCATTACCTAAAACAAAAAAGAAACAAGAAATCCATTGGTCGAGTAGGAAAAAGAAAATATATCACAAAAATGTAGGAAGTACAAAAAACAGAAAAACAAAACAAACGGAATGCAATGCGGAATTCCATCTCTTTATCCTTCAATTTTCTTGTGTTGTTCATAATTCGTTTTTTTCCATTCTGGTTCCATTCATTCGATATACTCGAATGAGTAATATCATCGATGATTATATGTGTTGAAAATGAAAAATTTTTTCGCTTTGTTTTGATGATTTCGACACTATAGAAACCAAAAAAAAACTGCGTTTTAAATTGTGTAAAGATTCCAACTGGGAAAAAAATTAAATGAAAGTTAATGGATGAAATTGAAACCAATAACGAAAAAAATGTATTCCGGTTTCTTTTTCATGAATCATTTCAATTCATCGATCGATTCAATTCAAAAGAATAAAAAATAGCGTGTTAAATTGAATCTAAACAATTTCCGTTTTTCTAATTATTTCCTTTCATCAAGTGGACCATATTACCATCAATCATTATTATTTATCCGGATTTTTTATATTCAATCTTTTAATAGATTGAAATATTTGTCAAAAAATATTCACATATCAATCATACAAATAAATTAAGCAGTTAATATGACAGTTTATTAAATCTTAATATCAATAAATCTGTTTTGTTTTGTTTTCTTGATGAAAAAGAGAAAAGATTAAACTAACTTTCGGTTTGTCATTACTTCACATTGGTAGCCTAACATTAACATTGTCACATTGTTTATTTTTTTCCAGATCAAAAGTAACTGATGTGAAAATATTCAGGAAATATTGTATTACCTAAATAAAAACATTGAATAACATAATGTTTATTATTAGTTGTGTTTGGAATAATAAAAATGAAGAAATAATTCATGCGAAAACTAATCAAAAAACTTGCTTGAATTTTATTTTCCCTTTTATTATACATCTCTGAAATATAGAGAGAATTACATAATCTTTAGCAACCACTATGACAAAATACATGGTGAATTTTCACACATTTATTTTTATTTTTTTTTTACTTATAAACATCCACCAAAACACATACATTTACATATTACAAAACCTGAAATTACTTGTTTTTTTTTGTCTTCGAAGAAATAACGAATAAAAAAATGCAATGCAATGAAGCCGACTTTTATTCGATCAACTTTTTGTTGTTGTTGTTGTTTTTTCTGCATTCATTCATTCGGTTTTGGTTTCGTTCATCATTGTTGTTGTTTTTGTTGTTGTTCAAAGAGTTCATTCAAGCTTAAATCATTGATTCTGTGTTTTTTTCATTTATTCTTATTCTTGAATTCGGATCTATTATCATTAACGAAACTTTTTTTTTGCAAACAAACAATCAATGGATTGACCGGTTGTTCAATTCAAAACAACGACAAGCAAATACAAATGAAAATGAACAACATCAACGACAACGAAGAAAAAAAAATTGAAAATAAGTTCGTGTATGTGTGTGTTCAACAAACCTTAAACGAGAAGGGAAAAACAAGAAAAAATATACCCACTGTGTTCATATTCAATGAAGCAAAGCAAATTCAAAAACTACTAAACAAGCAATCAAGCAGTTATTTTTTGTTTTGTTTTTTTTCGTATTCTGTCAGTGTGTTGTTTCAATAGAAAAGAATAACAAAAAACAAAAATAATAATAACAAGTCTTAATATCTCATTAACTTGAAATCGAATATAAAGTGTGAGAGAGAAGAGAAAGAAGTGGTAAAAAATAACTATATTTCAATGAAGAGAAAACAAAATGAAAATAAATCCAGGAAAAAATCTAACAAGGTCCAGCAGTAGAATGTAACATTGTCACATCATAATCAAAGAGAGGGCAAACAGAGAACCAATTTTGTCAATAAGTTCAGTTCAGTTTCTTCATCATTGAGAAATGCAGTGCATGTTGTTTGTTCAATCGTCATCACCCAAAGAATATGTAGTCAACGAATAGTTTTTTATTCTTTCCACTCTTTTTTTTTATTCTTACCACATTACTTAGTTTATTTTAGATCATTTTTCTTCTCTTTTTTTCTTGATAAACCATTTTACTTTATTGAATTTTCATCTATAATTAATCACCACCAAGAAAATACTGTTTAACAGAATATGAAAAAAATGTTGTTGTTTTTGTTTTTTGCTGTTGTTGTTTTCATAAAAACAACACAACACACACACATTGACGACTAATATTCTGGGTCTTGGTAAATATATGGAATTGGAAAATATAACATGCCAGTATCAGTTGTTGTTGTTGTTGTTTTTGTTTGCGTAGAATTATATTCCATTTTTCTTTTCCTCTCGTTACTTTCAATTTCTCTGAAATTGCATCATATTTTGTTGTTGTTGTTGAAACCAAAAAAAAGTTTTTTTTTTCGTTTCATCATTTCTTAACTGTAACATTTTTTTCAATTTTCATCAGCGACCAGAAACATTATTCTTTTTTTCTTTTCTTTTTGGTTTCTTTTTACGTGTTCTCGCCATACATCAACATCATCATTATTTTTTTTTAAAAACCAGACCATGACATGATCATAATCATCATCATCATTGCAAATGGCAGTAATAACGATTGTAAATGTGAAATGAAAAAAAAATTTCTTCAAAATTCAACGAATAAAGTTTGATTATTCGTTATTATTTTTCCCAATAGACCCGTTGACCACCACCATCACTGTCTGTTTGTTTGTTTTTCCAAGATCGTTTCAGTGAAGGATGAAATAATTTTCTCAACTATCTAATCTATTTAATCATCATATATTTACCGCTTTAGTGTATACATTATTACATAATTATATAACCAGATCAGAATTAAATAAAACATAAAGATGATGTTGAAAAAAAATAGATAAATTTTCAAATAAAACTAATGATTTATAATGGATTTTTTCTTTCGTTTTTGAACTACAAAATCCACTGTGTAATGGTTAATGGATTGAAAACCGTGATGTGTTGTGTATATGTTTATATAATTAAAGTATTTCTTTTCATTATTATTTATTGATTTGGTTTTCTTTTTAGTTACCAAATAATAAAAAATAAACATGGTTAAAATAGAGAAAAAAAAGGGTTGGCCATCATTTTCTTTATATTATCAATGTTGTTGTTGTTGTTTCTGAGAATTTGATACTTATAATTTGTTTTTTTTTCACTGGTATTCATCCAATTAATTGTTTAGGATCATTCAATGAAATCCAATTGGGAAATCAATGAAACATGAAACAAAAACAAGATTATAAATTATGTTGTTGTTGTCTTAACACCCTATATTTGTTTATACAGATAAAATGTATCCATAAAGATTGCAAAATAAAATACATTTGGTATATGAAATGAAATGTATGTAGAAGAAGAGAAAGAAAGCAAAAAAAAAATAATGTCAACGAATAAATTCATCTATCTTCATGATTGTAATTATTTTTCTTTTTATCAAATTCATTTACCTCGTTCATTTCATGATCTTTTACTTTTAAAAATACAAATTATCGTAATTTAATGAAAAAAAACATATATTTTTAATGTCAATTTAATAAATAGTTGTTGTTGTTTGCTGTTTTTTCACTACTACTTGTATTTATTGATGTATTTCTGCTTTCATTTGTAAATGATTAAATAGATTTGATAATTTACAAGAATTTTTTTAAATCAATAATCAAGTTGTTCAATGATTATGATAATGAATTCAATTTTTCCAATTTTATCCAATCTATTTTTATCGTTATTTTTCTTTATTTTACACAATTCAAAATGTATTCAGTTGATTCATTTCATTTTAGTCAGAATAATCATTTATTCGTATTCTAATTAAAGTAGACAATTAAAAACACAATGTTCAATTAGCTTTGAAACATTGATCTTTGTTTCTTTTTTCACATTCACACACACACGCACATACACATTCAAAACGGTCATCTGACAAACAATTATAAACAGCCGATTTAGCTAAATGAAAATGAAAACCCGACCAGAATAAACTGATGTTCATTGAAAATAAAAAACCAATATCGAATGATAATAATTCAAGTATATAAGATAGGAGAATTGAACGAAATAAAAATTGGCTGATCATTCTTATTGACCGGGTATTTATTCGGTTGTTGTTGTTTTTAACATTCATAGTAAATGTGTAATGTAGTTCAAATTCAATTTGAATCAACTTGAATGTTGTCATTTTGTTTTTGGAAAATAAAATCAAACATATTGTAGTCATCTAACTTTGAATACAATTCCCATTCTGTTATCTATATTGCTATTTTGTTTCATTCTTTCATTCATTTTCATTTTCTCTTTTTTTTACTGACAATTTATCTTTGATGTGTGATTCATTCTGTTTTATTTTTAAGTAACTTTCATGTACTTATATTCTCTTTCTTTCTCTCATCTCACTTCACTTTTTAGGTCTATACGAATGTCAAATCAATTCGGATCCACCAAAAAGCCAGTAAGTAAAACTAAAACAAAAAAGAAAAATGTTATTGAACTTTTTTCATGCAAAAAACCCATTCCAACATTTTCCATCCATAAAGATATGATTTTTTTTTCTCTCCCAGTTGTTTTAATCTAAAAATTTTTAGTTTGTTTTTTTTGTTTCGTTTCAAATCAAGCTTAAAAGCAACAAAAAAAGGGTTATTATCTTTTGGTTTCAAATAACATTAAATCGAACAAGATAACAGAATAAAATGAAAAAAGGAATATGACATGTTTGTTATGCTTTACATATCCACATACACACACACATACATGAATAAAGAAATCAAGATTGAAAACAAAAAATAACATGCATGTGACACTTATTTTTTTTTGCTATCATTTTTGTTGTTGTTGTTCATTCTGGTTAAATAACTACAAATGAATGAATCTCAATGTATCATTTGAATGGTGGTGGTGGTGGTTGTAATCTCAATTATTTAAATTTGAAACAAGAACAAAAAAAAACGATTCAAGATAAATAGATATACAGTGAGTGAAAGAGAGAGAAAAAAATGCAATTTGTTTAAGTGATTCATGATTCTTCTTGCATCCAACATTCAATTATATTCAATTCATTCATTTCAGTATATATCAAATGACAACGATGATGAACAATATCTCTCTCTATTTCTAGCCATCCATTGTCGGGGAAAAAAAGTGGATAGTGAATAATATGGTTGATATGATGATATGATTTGATGAACCTCGAAAACAAACGAAATAATTCTTATCGAGAATTGAAACCAACCAACCCTCCCCAAAAAAAAGATACACAAAAAAAACCAGAATAAAACAATTTTTCTGTTCAATTTCAAAATTCCAGAATTCCAATCCTCTAGTGAATTATCATTTTCTTTTCTTTTTTTTTCATTATTAAAAAATCAATTAATTATTCTTTTTTTTTGCTACAATTCTTTCATTGATCGAAACGAATTTCAGTTTAATAATAATGAAACCATTCATAAGCAAACAACAACAACAACAGAAAAATAATTAAAACTTTTCCTTTTCCCTTCATGACCAAAAAAAAACCATTCATTCATTTTTCTTGATTGAAACTAATGTTTTTTTTTCTATTCGTTTTCTTAATAATTTCTTATTTAACAGATATTTTTACCTACATATTGTCGGTATGTATTTCCAACGATTTTTTTGTTTGTTTGTTTGTTATTCTAAATTGCTGACATTTATTTATTTTATTTTTTATAGTACCAGTTACCGAAATTATTGGCAATCCAAATATATTTGTACGTCTTGGTGAATCAATTAATCTTACCTGTTTAATAACACAATCACCTGAACCACCGGCATTTGTATTCTGGTATCATAATGAACGTATGATTAATTATGATTATACTGAAACCGATGATGGTCGTATTATTATACAAAAAAGTACCGAACAAAATGATGTGATTATATCACGTTTAATTATTAATAAAGCTAAATTAGAAGCAAGTGGTAATTATACTTGTTCACCAAGTAATGCTGAACCAGCATCAACATATGTACATGTTTTACAAGGTTTGTTTTTCTTTTCATAGAATTGAATATTTTTTTTTTATTTAGGTCAAAATTTTATTGACCTTAACATTGATAATAATTACAATGACATTATTCAATAGAGAGACTTAAAGATAATCAAAGATTTAAAAAGGTTTTCATTATCATAGTTTTTTTCCTGACTGTTGTTTCTTTTGTTTGTCAAAACAATGCAATACTCCAAAGCTCAATAATAATAAAAATCCAAAAAACAAATACAGAAAAACTTTTTTCACTGATAACATTATCATCATCATTACGGATAACAGTCAAGACCATTCCAGAATCTTATAGATTTTTCAAGAAACATTTTTATTATTATCATTATTTTGAAATTATGTCAAACTATTGTACTAGTTTTTTACTGTTGTTGATACATCTGATTATTGCATATTTGCAATTACAATGATATGATAAAAATCAAATGATGATTTTTGTAATGTTGTCCACAATGTTTTTGTGTGATGTATCAATTTGATATTACGAGGGGGAAAAATGAAGAAAAAAAAGATTAAGCTGTTGAAATCATCATCATTTGTTTTTGGTCGTTTTTTTTATTATTATTGTAATTGAATTAGATAAGAATCCCTGTTTATCATGTAAATCATTCGGATTTGTTTTTTTCCATTGTATTCAATATCTACATGTCCAAATAACGGTAGTTACTGATAGAACGAATAAAAATTGTATGTAATGAAAAAAAGTGTTTATGAAAATAAAACTTTTATCCACTGTTTCCTTAGTTCTTTTTGGGCATGTTTTGAATCTGAAAGACAAACGAGATGCCATCATTGAACCGTACGAATATTCAAAGTTTTGCCTTTGGAAATCCAATGATCGAGAAAAATATTATATTAGGAATGAGATTCGAAGATTTCACCGCATTTTTGTTCTCCATCATTGTACATCATGATTTTAAATTTGCCGATTTATTCTTTTTCTGTTTGTTTGATTGTCACAGTCTATTTTTGATGATAGACTTTGTTGGCCTTGTTCTACTTTAGAATCAAAATTTTGATCAAAATCAACACCGAAGAATAGATAAGGGAAAAAAAAGAAACAGAATCCAATCAACAATATAGAATCTTTAGTCAAAAGTAAAACTAAAATCAAACGGATGAAATGTTAGCATCCTGTATGCAACCCAAACATTGATCGAATTGAATAGATTCATTGAAATGATTGACTTTTACGCACGAATAACCATCTACTATCTAATCAACCAACCAACCAACCAACCAACATCATCATCATTATTATTATCATTCATTGAAAATCTAAAATGTTTAAAAAAACTGAAAAAAATATACATTTTGTGACATTGAGTTTTTCCCTTCCATCATGAATATTTACATTTTGACATTACAATTTGAATCATATCGGATGGAATATATGTCATTTCGATTGAAACAAATTGAAACAAATTTTGTTTCAATACCCGAAAATAAAAAACAAAATTCATATCATTTAAAATCGATCATTATTCGATGTGCACATCACACATCTATAGATAAAAATCATTATTATCATTCATTTTTCCATTTACAAGTTAAATTGATAATAACATTATCGTATTGAATATGAAAAAATATTATGCGAAATATCGTGATAAATTCATATCGATCAACAAATTCAATGAGAATGATAATCACATACACAAACGCTGTATATTTTTCTATTTTCAATGGAAAATGTAAATACATTCCTTAACATTCGAAAACTGTGATCGTTCTTTTCTTTTGAATCATTTTTTTTCGTTTGGTTCTGGGCGTTGACCACCACCATCATCACCATCTTTCGTTTGTAATAATATCAGAGAAAAAACTACATAATTGAATTGAATGATTAATTTTAGCTTTGATTTGTAATGATGAACTCTGTAAAAAAAAAATTCCTGCTGTTTTTTTTTGCAAATAAAAGATTCTTATACAAATACGCACACCTGGTATTATGAAAAATTATTTAAGTAATTATTATTATTGATAATCTTGACAAGTGGGCGTCAAGATTTGTTTGTTTGTTTTTTGTTTTAAATATATAATTGATTTGATTCAAAATAATAACCTAAATACATACATTTGATTATAATTCAAATTTCTTTTCTTTTTTACTTTTTAATTTAGGTGAAAAACGACTTTCGAATGATGTACAAAATGATTGGAATCAAGCATTAGATATAAAAAATATACAACATAAAAGTGCCACAAATTCGGAAGGTCATCATTCCGGTTCAATTTCTACAATTTACAATTATGTTGCTAAGACCAGATAATAAGATTAGTAAAGTTACGAGTTATTTAAAAATAAAGCATGTTAAAAAAAATCAATGAACCATCATCATCATTTTTCATAACTTTTCAAATATTTTTCTTTGTTGTTGCTATTGTAAAAAAATATGTTAACTGTAAATAAAAAAATAATTCCTATTTTGAAACATTCGATCGCTCATCTCTTTATTCAACAAAAAAAAAATCGCCGAATATTGTTATTGTTTTCCTATTTTTCATTGTAAAAAATGATGTCAATTTTTTTTCTTGTCTTTTGCTTTCCAACAACTCAATTTCATGAATGCAAAATGTGATGATAAACTTTTTTTGAAAACAAAACAAGAATAAAATTCATAGAATAAATTGGTAAAAAAAATTCTCATTTCAATGAATTTTGAAAATGAAAAGATGTTTTGAAAATCTGACACCACTAACACCAATGGAAGAAAAATAAAATTTTTTGACAACCAAAATCTTTTACATGATTTTAAAGTCCATAAGGGTCAATAATGGAAAAAACTGGATTGGAAGGGGGATGAAAAAAACTTTCATAATGTACAAACCATATATCATTGATTGAATTCAATATTCAAAACATGTCTTTATTATTATTATTATTATTATTGTTGATTTTATTGTTGCATGTATTGAAATATATATTTATTTA